CTTATTTTTATTTTCAGTTCTCCAATTTTATATTTTTTTTCGGGGGTGGCTATCCAACATAACTATAGTATCCGCAACAATCAGCCATCCCCAACTATTATTTTTTGTCAGATATTGCAAAGCATTCCATTCAGAGTATGTTGAACCACAATGATGAATCAATGAACCAGCATTTGGGGCTAGCGTAAATCTTTTTGATTGGGCTCAATGAATCCTATGGATATCCAGTTCAACGTCGAAACTCTGTTTCAATGGCCGATTGTTGTGGTCCCATGGCGATATATTCTCAATGGGGCAATACAAGGATGCGTACCTGGGTGGTCAGGGCCGAACTGAACATGCCCCCGAATGACCTAGGCGTATTACGAATGAATAACTAATAATATGACATATGTATCTAAAAAAACTGAGAAACAAAAATCGTCATTCAACTTGATTCAGTTACTTTGACTAGCTAATTAAACTAGCACTAGCTAGGTTCATCATGGGACGATCTTTGCAGAAATCAAAAAAAATGTGGGTCGGCGCACGGGACGACATCAGCCTTAAAAAGCCTCGGGTTTTGCGTGGCAGGTGGACGAAGTTGGGGTTGCTCAGAGGGGCATTGATGGAGGAACATGACCTTCTTTGAGTATTGGTATGTCATATATGCTGAATATATCCAGAAATGTAGTCTATAAATCATTTCATGCCAGATTTCAGTTTTATTGGGATAAAATACAATAAAATACATTTGGGGCTTGTCTCAATTAAGCCCCTTTGCAGAGATGCTCCACTTTTATCTTCCATTTCTGTGTGAAAGATATCCGTCAGGGAAGTTGCGGCAAATTGGTTGTCTGAAAATAGAGCAGCCAAAATCCAATGCTCATCATTTTGTCCAATAAGTGGCCATTTTATGGGTACTTTGGTACGCCGGATTTTTAGACGCACACATATCATAGAGTATGTTATTGCCCAGTATATATATATATAGATCCCCTAAATCCCTTAAGTCACCTTTCTTGTTGGTCAACCAATGACCTTCGGAAAATACCCTTCGGTGGCTGATGCCATGGCTGGCTGATCTTAATGGAAGTTGGCAGAGCCCTTGGGTAGCTATGAATTATGAGAAGAATGTTGTACATCCATTGTTGTTGTCTAATATGAAATATAATTGTTGAATTATCATCCATTGTAGAATGTGTCAAATTGTTGAACAACATTTTATAATGTTCAAATGTTGTTGTCTAACAATAAATTGATGATCGTAAACAAATCTATTCTTGTTCTAAGGGCGACCTTCCAGCCAGCTTTGTTGGTTGGATGATGACAAAAAACACCTTCCAAGTTTCTAAGCCCATCAGAATGTCCCGAACATGTTTGGTTTAAGATCCTAGAGTCGTGGCACCTTTTTGGATGCATTGGGAAGCCACAATTTTTCGAAGTAGGCAATCCCATTGTTTGGTATATTGCCATTTCAACGCTCTTTAGTATACGGTTGCTTCCTCAGCAGTGAATGACTCACTTGTCATCAAGCTATCCAACGAATTCTGCCTTTCAAACCTCATATTCATAAATGTAGTCAAATATGTTAAAATATGATCAAATATGATTAAATATCATAAACTCTCATCAAAAATCATCACATATCCGGAAAAAATCATTTCAAATTTCTAACGTCATCAGAATCTCCACCTGCCAACCTCTTCATTTTGTCCCTCCGAAACATATCCCGCGCAACGCGGCGTCCTGTGTTCCCCAACGTCAGGTGCTGACGCAATTTGAAGCTACCACCTCATCCATAACGGGCATCGAAAAGAAGATGGAAAAGGCTGAGGGGACGGTGATCAGTACGGTGATGACTGGATGACTGTGTTCATAGGATTGTATGGGTATTTGGTGTCATACATTTGAGTGTATCACTGACCTTCAAAGTTCATAGGAAAGCCGTAGGAGGATCCCATAAGGATTTTACCAAGAAAAACATGTGATACCAGACTTGGTTCAAGAAAGATTTACAAGAACCTCCTTTGCTATTCAGGGTCCATGACTATGTGTCGCTTTGCGAGATGGAAACATCCCCACATATGGACGGAGCTGAATATCATTGGTTATATTTATGTATATATATATATACATACAGTATATATATATATACATACAGTATATATTATATATATATGTACATATATATATGTATATATATATGTATATATATGTGTATATATATATGCACAGTAAAACGTAGCTACTTTGTGGTTCTGCCCCCCAGCACACTGGATGATCGTCAATGAATCCAACTGGACACATGAAGCATGGCAGTCAGGTCTGGTAGATAAAACCAGGGGGATTTACAGCTCCAAGTATTTGGTAATTTAGCCAAGTTAGAATGGTCCAAATACACTTGAAGCAAGTAAATTACCAAAGAGCCTCCATTCATTTACATGTATATATATATAAGTATATATATATATACTGTGTATATACTGTGTATATAATATGTCGTTTTCCATGATTTTCATGACTTTTTCATGACTTTTTCATGACTTTCCATATTTTCGTAGGGATATTGGGGATGTGATGGCTGGGATTCTCGCCTGGGAGAGCTGCGAGGTGAGTCAATACATGGAGACCGTGCAGGCGGGTTCGAAACAGTGAAAACACAGCCAGGTGTGGATCGAGTTATACAATATATATATATATATTGTATGCATGTATATCTATATCTATATCTCTATCTCTATATATATATAGAGACTTTATAGAAGGATGTATATCTAGCTTCCCCGAGAAGATCAAAGATCTATAGATGTGGTACAGTGTCCACTCATTTTCTGTTCGGGGTTTGTTATCGATATCCCCAAGATCATTAATGGCTCACCAAAAGTCCTGTTAACACCCCCAGGGGAATGGGTACTTCAATCTACAACCCCGTGCCTATCATCTACATTTATGTTGGGGAAAATCTAGATTACCTTTAGGGTATCCTTAAAAAAGTACAGCAACAAGAGACCCCAAACAGTGTGGGGGGTAGGAAGTCAATGTACCAGATACAAGCAACAGTAGCTATGGTACAGTTACAGATGAGGTTAGACATGATCGCAACTGCAGCAGCAGGACCTGCTATATAGATCTAGATAGAGGAGGTTACAAGATCTTCATACAAGAACTTCCTATGAGCATCCCAGAAGAACTTTCAGACAAGCACCAATGCGGAGGATTTTCAAAAACTCAATGCAAGGACCTCTTGAGGAGGATTTCAACAGGATCTCCACAATGATCTTCTCACATGGATCATGTAAGGACACCTACAGGATTTGACCAGGACCTCTTCAAGAGCTTCTCACAAGGACCTGCGCAAGATCATGCAAAGGCACCCGACAGCATTTCACTAGGATCTCCACAAGAGCTTCTCGCAAGGACTTGTAAAAGACCTTGCTTCATGCCAGACCCCTAAGAGAAGCTCGCAAGGTCGGCATAAGAGGACCTGCTGCTGATGGTGGAGCGGATCTTACAAGATCTTGATACAAGAACCTCCCAAGAGCCTCCCACAAGAGCTTTCATCCAAGCACCTCTAAGGCATGGCGTCTGCAAGGTTTTCGAGCGAGGACCTCCTAGAGAGGATCTCACCAGGATCTCCACAGGATCTTCTATCGAGGACCTGTACGGGAGGGCCTCTTAGAAGGTGTCTGCAGAATTTTCACAAGAGCTTCTCCGAAGTAGGCGTCTGCAGGGACCCCTTCGTTAGAGGATGTCAGCAGGATCTTTACAAGAGCTTTTCTCACAAGGACATGTACAAGATCATGCAAGGACCTCTGACAGGATTTCATCAGGATTTTCACAACCTCAAAGACTGCACCATGAAACTCTTGCAAGATCGTCTAAGACTTGAGCAGTCGAAATTGACATGGACATGTCACAAGAGCAAGTGTATGCGAGAATTAACAGGAGAAATGCTGGCCCCAAGATCGGGACGCACACTTTGTGCGAGCCTGCGCAGACATGCACATGGACATGTGACAGGAGCCGTTTTATGCGAGAATTTGCAGGAAAAAGGCCCGAGATCAGATTCAGCACCCTGATCAAGCACCGGCCTTTACCCCCTCAGTGTGGACACACTGTTTGGCGAACTGGAAAGTAAAGATTCAAATGGGTTCGGGGTTGCACAAGAGCCCAGTAACCACAGAAATCTCATCATTGATCCCAAACTTGACTTGTTGGGCCATGTCAGTGGCACAACCCGAATATTAGCCAGCATTAGTAGGTGATTCATAGCCCTGTTCAAGCCTATTAAACGTGAAATTCCTCGGATGCACATGCCCAATTGTTCTTTTGACAGCATCGCATCAGATCCGTATCATTTTGTTGTTTAAATCCCATTCGACTACCTTTTCTTGTTTAAATCACATTAAATAACACATTTTTGTTGGTTAAAACACCATTAAACGACAATTTTTCTGCTGATATACATCCCTTTGAACCACCATTGAATCACCAATTTGTTCTTGGTTAAATCACCATTTTGTTTGTTAAAATCCCATGAAACCTCCATTTCTGTTGGTTGAATCAGCATTGTCCCAGGTCCAGCGACGGGCCTTGGTGAACCACGCAGAGGTCGGATTTTGGAGTTGGGTGACGGGCCTTGGCAGAACAAGTCATGGGAACATGGAAAAATATGGGGTTTCTATAGGATTTTCCGAGAAAATGCATGGGATTTGTATGGTTAATCACTAAATATAGAAGAAATCTATAGGATTTCTATGGGATGAATCTGGGACGAATATGGTTAATCTATGGTTAATCATCATTTTCCCACATTGAAATGGCTATGAACATGCAACCAGAATGGGGATGGGATGGGACGGTTCCAGCTATTGACGCCATGTTGACCTCATATTTTTCCATGTTAAAAACCATGTTATTTCCATATGGTTTTTCCATAAGTTTCCTGGCCCTAAAATTTGAAGGCCAGACCATGCAGCCAGGTGACCACCTCGTTGATTGACGGCCTTGGAGAGTCCATGGCGGATCAGAGTAAGTTGTTGTACGACTACTTCGCCACCTCCTTCGAACACTTCGCAGGAGAAAGTTGGGAGAAATCTGGGAGAATTTTCCAGGAAGAATCCATGCTTCAAATATGAAGAACTTCCTACATTGATGTGGTACCACCCCCCCAAAAAAATAGACGGATGACAATGACTTAGGATTGAAACAACCACGTCCGCTGAGTTGTTCGGGCTGGCTGTCGCAGGAGTTTTTTTAAAAGGTTTTTTTCGCGAAAAAGTGCGCAGTTTTAGTTGTTCAGGTTTATGAAAGGATTTTTGTGTTGTTGTGGGGGGGTGAAATTGTCGAAGTCTCAATCACCGTTGTGTCCATTCTTTTCTTCTGGCTTCCAGCATTACTGCGCCTTTTTTGGTGAGAAATTTACGCCTTTTCTTGCCCTGCGTGGCTGCCATTTTAAGTATGAGATTGTGCACTTCATAGCCCACATCATCATCATCATCATCATTATCATCATCATCATCATCATTGAAGAATTATCATCATCGAAGTATTGTCATTATAATAGTAACAAAAATAACAATAATGATAATAGTAACCATACTACCAATATATCGTAATGCTAGTACTAATGAATAATAATGATAATTGCAATTGCAAGTGTCTAGCTGAGCGGGAGATTCGCCCTGCTTCGCCCTGACAACCAGGGCGCGCGGTTTGTGTTGGCTCGGGACTGCCAATCAAACCATAGCTCGGTTCATGCTGGGCCTTTGTAGGGCGAGTATGTTGCCAGTATGTTGGGCGCATGTTGGGCCTATATTGGGCCTGTGGGCCCTATGTTGGGCCCATGTTGAGTTTGTCAGCCCAGATTTGGTGTGCATTGTCGCATCTAGATCCACAGCTAGAGATCCTTTAGGTGAGAGGCGACTTCTAAAGGGAGTGGCCGCAGCCGCCAAAAGAGCGGCCAGACCATGCGCGCACCGAATGTTCCTTTGGGCCAGGCTTGGCTCGCTTGGAATCGCATGGTGTCACACCACCATAAACCACTTTGAAACTTGTTTTGTGCAAGGCATGTGGCGAGAGTGAGCCACTTGAGTGAAGTTTTGAAAACATACATATATGGAAAAATCGAAAGACGCCTGGAATTTTTGAAAATTGAAGCAGGCATTGATGTGTAAGAATGAGAAAACATGCTCGCCCCAACCCGGACGTTGCTCCACACTTACAATCATCATCATCATCATCATCAGCATCATCATCATCATCATCATCATCATCACATCATCACATCATGATCATCATCACATTAAAATTCGCCACCCCCTCTGAACAATATGTTGATGGGGGTAATAACATCAACTTTATCTTCATAGCCACCTGAAGTCAGACGCGGCGCAACGTCAGGGTTGCAGCGAACATGTTTCACAGTTTTGTTTGGGTCTCATAGTTGTTTCATTTTCATTGCGGAAGAAAAATTGCCATAACATGTTTTTTTTATTGCATTTGGCGCCCTGGATGTTCAAATCCTTTGATGTGCTTGCCCACAACAATGCCAAACAAAATCCAAACATTAGCTGCCAATCAGGATTTTGTTTGAATTCCCAAAGGGTGGTTGGATCAATTGTTCGTTTTGTCGTGGCGTTTTAAAGCAATTATTGAAAAACTGTCATGACTTGATACACAGTGATTCCACATGAATTATATATATATATTACTTGTAATAATATATGACTTGTAATAATATATGTATACTGTATATATATATTATGAATATATATATATATATACATATTATGAATATATATATATATGTATATATATGCTAGGAATAGAATAAGTGCTTTAGGATTTCCATCCCCACTTTCTATGTGGATTCAGCTGTGTCATTCTATGAGGGTGTTTTTCACCCACATGCTAAAGACCGCTCCACGATCCGCGCTGAGCACGTCAGAGGACTGGTGGAAGTGCTAGAGACGTCCTTGTACAATTTGAAATTGGAGGAACTGATGGCTGCATCGCCGTGGATACCTGGAATTCAAACATCAATTTGATGTGGATATCAACAAAAATGGTGGTATCATGGAATATAATGGGAATGCAACCAACAATTTTTGACTCATAGATATCCTTTTTCCATTGGTTGGTTGATTAATGGAGCGGTCACCTTCATTCAACAATCAATAGGTACATGATAATAACTGGCATACCAAACTGAAACTTTTATTTTTGTTGATCGATTATCTGGGTGCATTATATTTCATTTCAAAATGATGGCACCAAAAATCATCCCAAATTCAACTTAGTTTAGGTTGGTGAATTATTGTAAGTCTGACTGTTAGGGACCCCAAAAAAGCACAGACAAGTGGCGACACCACAAAAACGGTCAAACCTACAAGAATGCAATCCAAAAAAACTTGGCATGTTCAGCATAGGATGTCAGCCATGACTGGCGAAAGAAACTGCGTCAGGACGCTCCCCGACAGATTCAGAGAGAGCCTGGGGGCCCGCTGGGTTGATGTTCATCCCACGAGGAAGTAGGTCCAGTTACAAGTGGATTTACCATACATGGATTAGTGGATTAACCATAACTATACAAAAGTCCCACTGAAAAAATATGGATATATAACCATTAAACTGATCGAGACTCGAAATGAATCGATAGTTTAGTGGTACCAAATTGGCACACCGATCTTGCCGGAAGGCAGAAAACAAGGTCAGCCGGTCAGCCCTTTTGGTGCCGAAGACATATTGGATCGGACGAGAAATGATACCACTGGAGACCAGGAACTTGTAAACTTCACGGATCATCCAATACTGCACATGATGATATGTGATATATATATATATATTGTTATATATTACATAGGTAATATGAAACTTAAATTGGTTGAAGGGACACATTTTTACAGCAAAACCGCTGTGTTTTTACGGGGACCATGGTCAACTCTGTACCTCTCGCCTCATTCTGGTGACCTGGTGGAGCTAGAAGAGGATTTTTTCTTGGAATTTTTGGCATCCCTTCCCCCTAATATTAAACACCCCCGGAACGAAACCATGGTTTAGTGAAAGTTTAGTGGGAATTTGCACATTCCATTGGAACCATGCAATTGGGGTGTTTAATATTAGGGTGATGGGATTAACATTGCTCCTTTTCTAACCGGTAACTCATCGATAACTGGGCCATTTTCGCTATCTCGAAACAAATGGAGGGTAGATGGCTGAACATAAACCAACAGACACCACTGGGATTGTCCCTTAGGCACAGATTTTGGGCAACCTTTCGTATTCAACCATCCAAGGTTTTCAAAACTCGTTCGCCAAGTCCCAAATGGGATCACCAGGTTTGGACCTTTGCTGATGCCATCAGTTCGGGAGCCCCGGGGGTTCGGGGATTTCCCCGCAAAGCAATGGGTGATTTTTTGTGACCCAGCCTTGCTTAAACATGGCAAGCGCTAGGACTGCCATTCCGCCATCCGTTCTTGAAAGTCGGAGGTCTCTGGTTGCCACCACCAAAGGGGTTCCGATGATCAAGATTTGTGACCATTTGGGGGTGAGGACTTGGCACCCCAGGTGGTGTTGGTTTTCATCATCACAGCTTGGAACTCAGATTTTTCGTCCAGAGCCTATCAAAAATCTTGGGACAGAGCGGATAGAGGTTCATTTCTGGTGCCGAAATGCCAATTTCTGGTGACCATTTTCAGGCTACTTCACCGATGTGATTTCTGTTGAGATTCAGATCACAAAAAAACGCCTTTTTTATCCAGTTCGAATGGGACGAAAAAAAGGCGACCAGCAGCCATCTTAGAGGAGTTTTGGTTGGTCCAAATGAAACTTTGCTGGTCCACATCCCACTTTAGCAGCTAAATGAACCCTCCATTTTGTGGGTTCACCAAATCATGGGTGAAGACCAGGTTTCACCAAAATAGGTGCGCGAAATTTGCATTTCTTTGTGAAGGTTCAGTGCAGCGTTTTTTGAGATTTTTTTCATCCCCACCTGGATGGTTCAGAATGTTTCAATAAAAAAATCCAGTGTCTTCAAATTCTTGCAACCATTTTCCACTATTTCTGTCAATTTCCACAAAGTCTTGCCCGCATGATTGCAGACGTCTCACGATTTTCCCATCCCTTCCCAATATCTTTCGGAATGTTCTCCTGTCAATTTCCATTGAACATGTTGGGAACCTGTCGAATCCCAAGATCTCCGATCTCCACACCATTTTGACATATCCGGTAGACGTGGCTGAAAAATACCTGGAAAATCCAGCCTTTAGTTCCATGATTTACCAGCTAATTAGAAACTTCCATTTTTTGTTCATGGATTTCCCATCTTTTCCTGTGGGTGTTCCCATATTTTCCCATAGTTTTTCCATGTTTTTTCCCGAACAGAGGGCACGTCATCGCTGCTATGTGAGCCCTGGAGGCCAGCAATTGCTACTTTGGTTTTCTTTTGGCCGGCGATGAAAGTCTGGCCGAAGCCCTACGTGTCCGGGCAACTCAGCGAAGCCTGCTTTCAACTGAGATATGATGGGAATATGATGGGAATGTAAGGGGGGTTAGTTAATTGGAGATAACATATATATATATATATACATACATACATACATACATACATACATACATACATACATACATACATACATACATACATACATACATACATACATACATACATACATACATACATACATACATACATACATACATACATACATACATACATACATACATACATACATACATACATACATACATACATACATACATACATACATATACATAACTATGGGATATACTAACATGATATTTGCAGGTGTCTGAAAATGGGGGATGGCCCCTGATGTATGGGGGGCAGGTTACCCCAACCCAAGTTATCATAGACCCTGTCATGAGCTGCGGGAAGATGACTTTTGCACTGAGCATGGTCTATTTTCAGGGTATCTGTCAATTTATTGGATGGGGAATGGAAATAACAAATGATATAGTGGATGTAATGAGATAGAATATGATAGAATTGGATATACTGTTTTTTTTTAGGCAAGAATATGATATTTGCAGGCGTCTGAACATGGGGGGATGGCTATTTTCAGGGTAAATATGATGATTCACCAGTGGATGAAATGGGTGGGCCCATATATCAACACCGTGGTTTGGAACATTTTTTATTGTTCCATTCAGTTGGGAATGTCATCATCCCAACTGACGAACTATTTTTTTTCAGAGAAGTAGGTATACCACCAACCAGAATAGATCATATTTACCCTCTGGTAAACAAACATAGCTATTGAAAATGGTCATTTATAGTGGATTCACCCATTAAACATGGTGATTTTCCATAGGTATGTTAGTTTACCAGAGGGTAGAGAGCTACTCGCAAAAACTGGGTGAATCCGTTCTAACGTTGGGACGGTGTTCCATTTTTGATTTGACGAGTTTTTGATGGCACAACTTTGGGACGGTCAAAGCCTTTTTCAAATGTTGGGACAATTTGGGTTACAAATATGTGTACAAAATCACAACATAATGATTACAGTACCATAATACCAACATATAATAATCATAATTTGGGACTGTAATATACAAATATTATATGTTGGGACGGTCAAAGCCTATAACAGTATGTACCATACATCTACAATACATAGTCACAACAATAATCATAACTAATAATCGAAATAGCGATAATACCAATAACAATCATGACAATGATAACAACAATAACAATAACAATAACAACAACAACAATAACAATAGTAACAGTCATAATAATAACAATAATAACACTAGCAACAACAATAGCAATGGTAGTAGTAAGAATTGTGATTTCAACGTGAACATCTTGACCCCAACTGAGTTGAATCCCAACCTTTAACGCTAAACGAACGGTTACGAAACCGAACGCTTCCCCGCTTGAGCTGTTGCAGAATGGGATCTTCCTGGATGGCAATGGTAGCCTTAATGCCTGGGATCTCGGAGGTGCCAAAGGATGATGTGCAACACATCTAGATATTTGATAAACTTAACCATTTTACATGTTACATGGGATGGTATAAGTATCAATGGGATGGTAGAAAACACATGTATATATATATATATCTATCAATATATATATATATGTGTAAACCTGGGATAGTCCATTCCACAGCGGTTGATTGTTGACCACGAACTTTTTCTTAGGGAGCTTGTGAAACGGCGACAACTTCTGTGAAACGTGGACAAGTTCTTCGAAAGGTGGGCAACTTCCACGAATCCAACGACAAGTTCTGAAACACTGCATTAAGCTCTAGACTGGACTGTACTCATGTAAATTTATTCCAATATGTTTCCTTTTTTTAGTAATTATGTTAAAACACCATATACATATAATTCTACGAGGTTTTGAATCGGTTTGGGTGCTTGTAGATAGTTAAATGGTGAACTACCTTGCAGAGTCGACATTGGCCCTACATACCCCACTGATCGAATTGGGTCGAACTAATCCACAAACACACCTCCTGGGAGTTAAGCACCAACAAGGATTGGAAATGGCGCCTTGACTCTGGATTTGCATGGTCGATTTTTCCGAAAAAAATATGGGTCGATCAGTCGAAGTCATCTTCTGGGGCCATCGCAACTAAGGAGTATGAGGCTCGACACGGCGACAGGAATATCCTCTTTCTTTTCGTGCCATCCTTGGGTCTCGATTCGCGGTGCATCATTGGATGTCAACATGCAGATGGAGAAAAATCCAGAGAGGTGTGGTTCAAAGAATGCCATCTGCACCATCCAGAAAAGTCATCACCATAGGCATGTTTACCATTCCCAGTCATGGTTTATGACTGAGGCCACGGCGCATGTGGTCCTCATAGGCAGGGCTAGAACTGCAAGCTTTGGCGAAAGATGGTGATTTTTCGAGGTGATTTCACGGTCCGAAACATGGTGGTTTCATGGGATTTAACCATATTTAACCAGCAAAGAAAGGTGATTTTAAATGGGATTTATCGGATTTCGTTGGGGATTTTTTTTCCGCATTTTTCCAGCAAATGCTGAAGTCGTTTTTTTTTTTTTTCTGTTGGGTTTATGGTGGATTTTCGGGGGCACACGGGCAGGTGACACTCCCAATGATCTTTGGGCTGATGAACCACCAAGCATTGGATTTCCCAACTGTTCATGGTCTGAGCAGGGATTCCTGCAGTTGTTTTTTTCTCCGGCGGTGGTCAATTGTCTTATGACTTGGCTACCCTGAAACAGATGGTTCACAGCCGGGTCCGCACTGCGCCCTGATGATTTCCCGGAAGCGTTTTAGGGAAAAAGTGAAACAAACTCTCTGTATCTGGTGGAATCAGCTTGTCCTGAGTTTCGAAGAGCTGGGGATTTGCAGGGCTTCACTTGGAGTTCTATGATGTTTGCTGTACATTAAGACATGATAAGACATGTATCTACATATGTGCGTATATAAAGTGTAGCTGGAGTGTACCCTGGTAATTTTTTGGGTTGTATAGATCATCATTTTTAGTAGTACGACTGACACATACGAATGATTCTGCATTCCAATCTCTGGTGATATTACCTTCTGGTCATCAAAATGGCAATGGAAAACCCCCCCATTTAGTTCGATGATTTTCCCATTAAAACCTCCATTTAGCCACGTTTGATTACTGGGTACTGAATTTTCCCAGCTTCCCACAGCTTCCTACGAATAGTCAGCAGAGATTTCCGACGATTTCAGTCGCTGGATGGTAGAGTTCACCTCCATGTCTTTCACAGAAATTGTGAGTGCAAAAAATGAGACCAAACCACGAAATTTGGTGAAATTTAATGGGCCAATGGGTAATCATTCAATGGGTAATTCGCAAAAAATAATGGGTAACCATATCTTAGTACCCATTTAATCTGGGATTTAATGAATCTCCATCATTCTTAGTTTGAAATGATGAAAATGATGACCAAACTAATGATGAATCTCCACAGAAATTCCAACCATCATTCTTTATCACAGCCGAAGCTCGGGAAAAAGGGTCTACCACCTCCCCGCGGGTTTCTATATCGGGCTGATATCAGGCGTGGCGATAGTTTACATCGCCATAGATCTCTTGCGAAGGTGGGAACCGATTGGAAAGATTGGGGAAGCTAAGAGGAGATTCCTTTCCGACCATTTTTCATGAAATGCCACTGTTTCACCAGCTTCAATCTGTGTAGGAAGAACACCAATTTTAGAGGCTAAGCCTCATCTCCTTGGGTGAAAATCAGGATTTTCGCATTTTTATCCTCTTGGTTTCACATACCCCCAGGCTTCTTGATATATGGGTCTGACTTCGCTTAGATGTTAACTTCACGAAGATCATCCTCTAGAATCACCAATTTTCACTGATTCCATCAGTGAAATCCAGAGTTTTTCCAGCATTTTTGAGGCACCTGCACGCGCGCCTGAAAGCGCGGAGGAAAAGTCGGATCTCCTTAGCAGGCGAGAAATCTTCGTTTCACCGAGTCACTTGTTTGGGGCTTTTTGGGGAGAAAATTACAGAAAATGTCAGGAAATTCCATGTTTTTCCCCACCTGCCAGGTGAGGGTTGTTAGATTTTATGTCAGTTGCCTGCTCCTCCTCTCCTCCTCCTCCTCCTCATCTCCTCCTCCTCTCCTCCTCCTCCTCGTCGTCCTCCTCCTCGTCGTCCTCCTCGTCGTCCTCCTCGTCCTCCTCGTCCAACTGCGACCCGCGATCCACAGTGTTCTCTGCCGGACCTCAACCACGACCATCCACGTCAGTGTGCCCTGCCAAACCTCAACCATGACCATCCACGCCCAGTGTTCCCTGCCGGACCTCAACCACGACCATCCACGCCCAGTGTTCCCTGCCGGACCTCAACCACGACCATCCCCGCCCAGTGTTCCCTGCCGGACCTCAACCACGACCATCCACGCCCATTGTTCCCTGCCGGACCTCAACCGCGAGTATCCACGCCAAGTGTTCCCTGCCGGACCTCATGTAGGAAGATATGGGACAAAGAATGTGCAGAAGAAAGTTAGAAGATAGAATGCCAGAAGATTTGCCAGATAATATGCCAGAAGATATGCCAGATAGAATGCCAGAAGATATACCAGATGCAATGTCAGATAGAATGCCAGAAGATATGCCAGAAGATTTGCCAGATAGAATGCCAGAAGATATGCGAGAACATATGCCAGAAGATATGCCAGATAGAATGCCAAAAGATATGTCAGATAGAATGCCAGAAGATTTGCCAGAACATATGCCGGAAGATATGCTAGATAGAATGCCAGATAGAATGCCAGAAGATATGTCATAATATATGCCAGAAGATATGCCAGATAGAATGCCAGAAAATATGCCAGATGCAATGTCAGATAGAATGCCAGAAGATATGCCAGAAGATTTGCCAGATAGAATGCCAGAAGATATGCGAGAACATATGCCAGAAGATATGCCAGATAGAATGCCAAAAGATATGTCAGATAGAATGCCAGAAGATTTGCCAGTAAGAAAATGTATAAATGTCATGGTGGGGATCACACGAAGTAAAGTAATTTTTTCGGGTGGAACATGGTGATATAACTAGAAATCAAATTGGGAGTTCATGAGGATTTAGGCAGGAAATTCCATGTTTTTTTTTTTTAGTGGAACATGGTGATTTTGTTGACCAGTGCAATCCAATGGCGAGTTCGTGACGGGATTTGGTCACTCGAAATTGGAAGAATCCCATCCCCCGATGGCCCATGATGGCCCCAATTTTTTGGACCCGAAGATGAAGAACAATCTGATATGGGAAGGGATTGAATTTGCAACACTGAAGATCTTGTACGAAGGATGTAAGCTGCAAAAAAATGAAAACATAGGGGCAACAGTTTTGAATTGTTTGTGCATTACCAATTGAATGAGGTCAGTTGTTTTTCCCATGGTGTGTCTCTGGTATGGGTCCTGTTACAAGAAAAAATTCAAGGGAGATGTGCTGTGCGTTCAAACAAGTCTCACACAACTGTCCAGTTGCAATATTTCCGCTGGTTACTTTTTTCTGATCAGTTTCCATCCAGTGCACATTTTTCTGCTACTTTCATCCGCAATGGGTATGCCTAATCCAAAGAGCAGTTTTTCAAATCATTTTTTTTGGGTTGATGTCTGGCCCGGATTAATAATCCCTAGACATTTTTTTTTTTGGGGGTACCATTTGAGTAGCTAAAGGCAAGTTGGGTTATCAACCTTGGTTTATTGATTGTCTCCACTGATATTGCTACTGAATCAACCCTTCAGAGTACCGTTGATTAATGCTTCACCCATTCTTGATCAACCGGGGTTTAGTCTCATCCGGGTTTGAAATTATATACAGATAATAGTGATTTGTTTTGTAGACCATAAATCACCATTTGTCGAACTATGGATGTCCATGTTTGATTGTCAAATCGTCAAATCCACATTTTTCCATTTTATTCCCTTCATATTATCCCAATTTAGAACTATAATGGTAACATTTACCATTAATATTAGTAAATCAATACCAAACCGCTGATATTTCAATGGTTTACACCACCCAGAAATTCCAAGTAAAATATCACAGTAATTCTTAGCCATTATAAGCTAATATGGAGGTTTCCATAAATGGGGGATCCCCTTTATCGCTGGATGGTTTATTTCATGGAAAATCCCAATCTAATAGCTGGATAATAACTAGGGGTACCCTAAGCTGGAAAAAAGAGCTGCGCATGTTCTGCTGGAAAGGCATCCGGTATAGCAATAGCCACTCCCCAGTCATCACCATTTTTGTAGGTGGTATGGTTACCATTCCCAGGGGTGGTTCATGGCATTGTTTTACCCACATTACCCGGCCTGGTAAACTAACATAACCTGGAAAATCACCATGTTTCATAGGTATTTTAACTATTTCTATGGCCATTTTCAATAGCTATTTTGACATCACCAGAGGGTACAATGTGGGCCCCCCCAGTGATGTTTGTTGGTATATAAACCCCATGAATACTATAGTTATTTGCGTACCATAAACCATAGTGAAATTGGAGTTATAAACGCACCAACTGAACGCGAGCTCGACCGGGGGCACCATGACTTGTAGCCACCATAACAATAGCCACTATCCAAGTACTAGCCCAGGTCCCCGAGGTCCCCGAGGTCAGGTCGTACTCGTGGGTACTCCGTGGTGCCAGGCCAGTTCTTTTCCGCGGACGACAGCGTGTCCGATGAGAGCGAGTGGCCTGGTGGTGGTACCGATGCTGGGGAGATGGTAGGTACCAAGCAACGGAGGAATCCCAAGAATACCATATTTTGTGGGGATATTCCCTGAAATTTAGGCCTAAAAAATCGGCCTCAAAAAAATGGTAGGTAGCTCCAATTTAGGTCCTGAAATGGCCATTGAAAGAATACCATCTGGTTATTTGAAATATGGAAAATCCCTTATCAATGGAGGTTTATAGCTGGGACAATCATCAATGGGCCATGGCTTCCATAGCTATGTTAAACAACCAGAGAGTAATAGAATCTTGGATTATATATGGTTAAAATTCCCCAAGAATCGTTGATTTATAGGGGTAATGCCCCTTTGGGGTGTTTGAACATAGTCTATTGAAGAATCATGACAAGGACGCTTTCAATGTGCTATGTTTGCAAAATAATGAGAATAATCAGAATGATAAAAATAGTGATAGCAATGATGACGATGATGACGACGACGAGGATGATGATGATGATGATGATGATGATGATGATGAGGATGAGAATGATAATAATATTTGATGTCACCAATAACAATTTTTGACAATAATAATGGTAATGCTAGCAATAATAGATTGTGGGTCCAAAACGGTACTCCATTTTTGAGTTCAATCTTACGTGATGCGGTCAACCCAATAGCAAAGCTTAATATGGTGCATAGCTTTTCATACCCCGAACGGTAAAATGGGGTAGATTGGGCATGGGACGAACAGGGGTCTACTATGGGGTTTACCATCTCAGGGTACCCGCAGAACAATATGTTGTTTACTTTAGTATCTATTAACATCTAGCAATCAAACATAGTAGACTCTGGTAAACTAACATAGCTATTGAAAATTGCCATAGAAATAGTGGATTTACCCATTAATAGCATGGTGATTTTCCATGGTTACGTTAGTTGACCAGAGGGTAGTGGGAAATGCTATGGAACTCCCGAAATCAGCTGGCCATCAGAAACGCCTGTGGGTCGGCATGTCCGAAATGTTTCTTGGGATACTAGAAACATGATGGATTTTATAGTTCAAATTTGAGGGACACTTTACAGGAAACACCCATATTTAATGGCCCAAACCAGCCAATTTCACCGGTTTCCTCCAGATCTGCACCGGTTCTGGCATGTTGAACCGCATATGGTCCAGGCATCCATCAGACGAATTTCCCACCAATCATCCTTGGGTCTTTATGGTTCAAGGTCCTTACAATGTTGGGCCATTGGGTCCTTAAATTGACAACACTGGAGGTCACGTGCTGTTGATTTTCAAGGCGGAAAGGCGAAGTTAAGAACTTTGACTGTTTCTTACTTTCGATATCTTTTGCGTTGACTGGTAGTTTGAATCGAGACAGTTTTTCTGTGAACATCCAAATGGCTGGCTAGCATGGTATTTTCAGCCAGTTCAAAGATGTTTTAAGTGGGCTACTGGGCCCTTTTTCAGCAAGGGTCAGAAAAAGCAACCATTGTTGCTGACCACTTATTGAGCCGGGGACAGATCTTATATCTTTAGCCCAAGTTCCGACCTGGGGCCCACTTCTGTGTGTTTTTTTGCCCCTTTCATACAGCTGCAATGTTCACAAGAAATACACGACGACTTGCCAGCTGGGATGGTCATCCAATCAAATTTAGTGTTGAGACAGTCGGGCTGCTTATCTGTTGTTGTTTGGGTTGATTATTGTTGATCATTCTTGCTGATCTGTCGCTTATTGGCCATGCTTCCCATTCTTTTCGATCTGAGGCTTGAGATTGGCACAAGCAAATCAGGCCCGGCCAAGCTGTGGCCCGGTGGACGTTCATCTGGGTGTTGATTGGGGTTGACATGACCCCAGAATTGTGACTACTGTAGATTGTGTGAAAACAACGGGGCACATTCGTGATTCTGGGATTTTCAGGTGTTGAAGTCAAAGTCAGAGTCCCGAAGTACTTGCGCGATCAAGGGAGGGAAGGTCAAAGAGCCCTCAGCTTTGGATTTTACTAGTACTGCCGTATTTCCATCTGCCAAGAAAACAAGAGAGAAATCAAGACTTGGATGATGCTAATCCCAATAAGCAACCAGACAGCTGTGTGCAGCCTCATGACACTGCTCACATAGTACACAGTAGACACAGTGCTTGTCGTGTGGCATGTCGTTCGCAACCAAGGCCCACCTTTCGACACCATTCTTGGTTACGTACCCGTTATTTTATGATTGTTGCTTAAAAATTACTGGTTGGTGGTTTGGAACATTTTTTAGTTTTCCATTCAGTTGGGAATGCCATCATCCCAACTGACTTTCATATTTTTCAGAGAGGTAGGTCAACCACCAACCAGATTACATTCTCCTCAGTCTTCGATGCCCATTTTCTGTGAATTCAATCCCTGTATTGGGTACCCTCTGGTGAACTAACATAGCAATTGAAAATGGCCCAGTCGAAATAGTGGATTTTCCCATTAATAGCATGGTGATTTTCCATTGCTATGTTAAATTACCAGAGGGTATGGGTCAAAAAATTGGGTACCTCGATGGTGAATCCAAATCCTGGACATCGACTAAGCCATCGGAGCCCTAGGTCGAGCACATTTTGACCCATCTGTGGCTGACCGTATGGTAACCATGGTTCCGGTGAAAAGTTTTCTCATTCTTTACCCAGACTCATATTTTTCCAGCTCAAGACGTTACATTTGGGGTCTTGAGTATATTCCCACTATATTCGCAGAAAATACCCCCGCTGAAGGCCACCATTCTTGTTGGTGACATCCCGATTTTGTTGCTTAAACCGCCATTCCGACCTTCAAGTACTGCAGGAGCGGACGTTGCTGCAGAGGCTGGTTGTCAACGTCGCCGAGCAAGCCCCAAAAGTCTTAGTAAGTGATTGTTTGTAATAATCTGCTTGGTGGTTAATGATGGTTAATGGATGTTAATGGTGGTTAATAATGGTTAATCTTGATTAATAATCACTGGTTGGTGGTTTCAAACCTGAAATTTTATTGTCCATTTCATGTATGGGATGTCATCCCAACCCCATTGACGAAATCATATTTTTCAAGATGGTGAAATTGCACCACCAAGCAGTAATATATTGGAGCTCCAAAATGCCTGGATCCCAAAATCAACTTGGGCTTTGATGGGAGAAATGATCAGACGAAGGGATTGTTTCTGAACTTCCGCCCTCGCAGGGCGAAGCCTCCGAGACGTTGCGGCCTCGGGAGAGTGGGGCAGCCTGGAGTGAGTTGTCGGACTTCGACTGGAGAGGGACGGTTTCGCTGGGAGTTTTCGAACTGGGGATGGATAAACAATTCGATGACTTTGTAGGTTTTCCGACTGTTTTGCATGTTTTTAATTTGGTGATTCATGTTTTTATAGGATTTACGTGGGTTTTATATGAATGGTTGTATACGGTTTAAACTGATTCAAAACACACTATCTGAATATGGATCAAAATTCTTCACCCCGAAAATGGATGGTTCTGAACCAAAAATGACCAAAGTATAGAAACTAAAATTGTACCCATCAAAATTGGATTTTAGATATCTCCATAACTACAAACATAAACAAACTTGTGACCTTCACTCAAAATTGGGGTATCCCCTCATGGTACTATGAATAAACTTGGTTCTGTTGAAAAAAAACATGTTTTTTGGGTTTGACTTTTCTTCTCATAGCCATTGAACTATCCCACCATAGTCGTCCGGGTTGCAACTCTTATAATTGTTTTTTTTGCATAACTATAAGCCACTTCTGGCAGTGCTTATCCTCCCCACGACGACCTCACAACCTGTTTTGAAACCGCTGCGCCAGGTGAGTACTCCCTTCGCCAGTCGCAAACCACTTCGTATCGCCAATCGCAAAGCTCGTTATATCGCTCGTCATATCGCCAATCGCACGTGTCTTCCCGTGGGTCTCGAAGGCGAAGCGGCGAAGCGATGTGGGAATTGGTGGCGCAAAAAAAAATGGCCAGTTGGAAGTTGGAAATGGCTTAGTAACCACCAACCACTAAGGGCATTACCAACCACTAAGTCACTAAGGGCATTAACCATCAATAATTGGCTTGGTCACCTGTAGGGGAATCCCCATGAATCATGTGACAACTTTGAGCCGATGAACCGACGTGCCTTTTTTTTTTTCATCCGCACCGACTTTTTGGACATCGAAGCAGAGATGGTTGGGATGTCCGAAAGCCGAGCTTGGGATTCAAGAACTTGGGCAATGCCTGTAATATCCATTTTTGAGCAGTTAAACCATGTTAAACCCCTATTATTAGGCCTCCCCGTCCCTGCCACCGCACCCGTCGCAGTGGCGAGCTTTCTTCCCGCCGCAGCGGGACTCCCGTCACCGGGCTGTTAAGGCTGTTGGAGAGATTGCGGACGATGGGTGACTTACCGGTTCGCCAGGAAACATTTTATGCACACATAGCACGAGTTTCGGGTTTCGGTTTCTTACTTCTCAATGAATGGGATCTATGCTGCTGCATTTTTTTAAAGGACTTGGTGATTCGCCCGTCGGAAAGAGATGATAACTCCGTGGACGAATACCCTTATCCAATTAGTAACTAGCTGAGATTTATACCTTACGCCACCAGGTTTATGTAACAATTTGTAACCCCATTTAGTAGGTTTTGAGTAACCAAAGTTGATTTACTGATTTATAGCAACCCAAAAAGACTCAGAAGAGTGATTTATCACGAGTTTAGTGTTGGATCTACCACTTTTCTGTCTGTTTTGGGGATATATGTGGATACATTGAGTGGGATGAGCCACCAAATTTGATATTTCATAGATTAAGTATTGTTGATACATACTATACGTACACGTACATTTATATATTAAGTTTGCTTGTACAATATATTTAGTTTAGGGATGCAGCAACCACCAAAAAGATAGACGCGTAAAATCCTATCAAAATAAATAGTTATGCATTTTGAGGGCTACTATACCTAATATGATATATACCATTTGGCAATCTAACATAGCCATGGAGAATCACCATTTTCAATGGGTAAATCATCTACACATGGGCAAGTTTCCATAGGTATTTTAAATAAAACAGACAGTATATCCCTGTTATATCACCATTAAGTCATTAAGTCCTGTAAATCATGAATTCTCGTTGGTTACTCTCTGGCAATCAAACATGGCAATGGACAATTCCCCATCTATAGATGATTTTTTCCAGCTATAAACCTGCCCCCCCAGGGCATTTTCTCTTGCCACGTTTGATTACCGGGTAAAATACCATTAAATCCAACAAAATCACATCGCAAATCACTGTTACCCTCTGGTAATTTAACGTAGCTATTGAAAATGGCCATAGAAATAGTGGATTTACCCATTAATAATGGCCATTTTCAATAGCTATGTTAAATTACCAGAGGGTAAATTCCATTAAGTCACCACTCAATCACCACTAAATGTCATGGAAAATCCCAGAAAATCCCATGAAAAGTCACCAAATCACGATGACATCTTTATCCATTGGCATTTTTTTCGTAGGACGTTGCGCATCCGTGCGCTTGGCGCCAGGCGCATACAACAGGTGGCCATTGGCCGCGTCTCCACGAACTCCAGCGAACCTGAGGCTGGGGCCCCCAGTGATGTGATTGTGAATCCGTTGGTTTATAAAGAATCAGAATCCCCATGAACCATTAAGTTAATCCCCATGAACCATTAAGTTAATCCCCATGAACTATAGTTAAACCACTGGTTATAAATAACTATAGTTATAAGTACCATTAACCATTAAGTTAAACCACTTATCAATTGATTTAGATTCAGCCCATGATTACTATAGTTATTTGAATGGTATTTAAGCGTACCATAAACCAAAAAGTGACATATTGGAACCAGTGATGTTAGTTGGTGAATTAAAATCCCAGTAAGTATAGTTATTTGCGTACCATAAACCATAGTTGTGTGACATTGGAGTTATGTTCACCAACTGAACTCTATCAACTGGGGGCCCCACGAGTTGTAGTCATGGGGGTACCTACCATTTATCGCTGGATGGGTGATTTCAAGGATCCGAAAAGAACCTGGATTTTTTAACTGGCTACTCTGCTTTTGGAAAATCAATTTTGAAACGCCACAAAAATACATGGAATCATAAGGAAGATCTTGGGTCCCGGAAGTAAATGGAGGGTTTTTTCACTGGGAAGATCATCGAACTGAGATAATCATGGGACGAAAAAAGATGCATTTATGGTGATTTTTCTATAAAACAATGGAATTTTCATGGGACTTGGTGGGACTTTCACGGGATTCAACCATGAAACATCTATAGTGTTTTTCTGGGTTAAAAAATGGTAATTTCATGGGCTTTGAATCAGGATTTAATGAGATGAATGGAATGATGATTGGAACCAATCATAAAGCTACCGTTTGGAAAGAAGACATGTTTTTCAATGGGAAAATCATCTATAAATTGGGTGTGATGGGAATTTATCCTCTGGCAATTTAACAGTTTGGGAACTGGAAATCACACCATTCTTGATAGGTAAATATCATCATAAATCATCTATAAATCATCTATAAGCTATAAATGATGGAAAATAACAGCACTCCATTAATAGGTAAATATCATCATCATATTCTTAACATAGCTATAAATGGAAAAGACCATTTCTCATAGCTATTTTACTCTACCAGAGTATCCATTTGGATCCCATGATACTTTTGTTCCTGACCATTAGTAGGTTCTTGTTTCTATCAAGAGATAGATTATCGTAAAGACATAGTAGAAAAACATGTTGTCTTCTTGTAATGATTGATAATCGGAACATAGTTGATAATCGGAAGAGTTTGGCCCAAGATAGTTTATAATATATATAATCGGATAATTGAGATATCCCATTTATGGGAACTGATGGGAAATAGATTTTGTATGGGATACTGTTATCTTATATATCGCAATCTTTCCCATACAATATCCGTTGTCTTGCCACAAATACTTCGTTTGGCTATGAGCCTGTACCCTCCGGCAAAAAACATGTCAAAGTGGATGGCATTTATTTTGTTGGCATGAATCGCCACCATAAAGAATTGTATTCTGTAGCTATTGATCCATAGCCAGCCAATGGCTTGTGCGAAAATTTGTCCCCCAAATCCCGTGACTGGATGGGGAGTATCGGGAGTATCCCCATGGATGAAACCTCCAGTAATCACAAGATCGATCCAACTCAAATGGGATCATGATATTGATGAACCTGTTTTGTTGTAACAATGGGTTAAAAAACAGTTAAAACCACCAACCCTGATTGGCTCGCTCGCAACACAATTTGCGAAGCCTCCGATCTACGGGTCATTATCTAGGCTCAGAATTGTACAGCAAACTTCATCAACATGATCCAATTTAGCAGGGACATGTTTGTGAAATCAGCCGTTTTTTGGACATACCGATACCATAAACATTGCAGCAACACGCAAAACCACCAGTGTTCCTGCCGTCCCATACACCAATCTTCCGTACTGTAGAGCCGCATTTTTTTCGCTGAATCTACAAACTATGCTGTGAATTATACAGATGTATACAATATAATATATATATATATTAATATATTACAGATTATATATAATATATAAATATATAATATGCATCGGGTATATAAGGAATGTCATAGGTACCTAGAAATCAGGATATGTGACCTTTTGTTGGTGAACTACCGTGCCAGGTGAGGATCAAAGGAATCTTCGGCCTCTCGGCCGGGTGGCCCAAGTGGTCCAAGTGGTCCAGGTAAGATCACCGAGTCACTGGGTGGGGTTGGAAAATCTGGGGAGCCCCAAGTGATGGTCATTTTCAGTGGAAAAAATGACATGAGAACGTCATTTTCATGGGAAAATGATCGAAAACCATGGAATGAAGATAGTAATGATCCTATTTTCAGGCAAAGGCCGGCACGTTTTGGTAATTTCTGTCCCAGAATTGGAACAAAATGAAGCCGGGAACCTCTACATGTAGCGGTAAAAACAACCATGGTTTCCGGTAGATTTTCCCTTAAACTAATCCCTTGATTGTGTGGCCATGGATAGTTCCTGGGACATGGGGGATATCACCATGGGATATGATGGGTGATTTAATGGGATATAATGGGATATACAATACCCCCACTTAACAGTTTAACCTTGCCATTAGTTGGGGGTTGGTCTAGACAATTATTTCCTAAAAAACAATGGCAATTTTGGGGGTCTATGCTATTTGGGGGGATTGTAAATCTTGGTAAACCTATGTAAAGATTATACATGGAGGTTTCCTGAAATGGGGGTACCCCTAAATCATCCTTCTATATAATAGGATTTTCCATTATAAACCATCCAGCTATTGGTGTACCCCCATTTATGGAACCTCCCCAGATGTGGAGATATAACACGATAATGAAAGTTATGCGTCTCAGGATGGGACAGATTAAAAATGATGAACAACTGTCGATACGTGCACCATATTTACACAGCTTTGTTTCAAAAGGGGATATACCCCCTGGTTATTTCACATAGCTATGGAACATGGCCCCTTGATAGCTGAACAAAAATGATGAGAAAAAGCTATAACATGGTGATTTTCCAGTTTGCAAAGCCTTAAATAACCAGAGGGTACCATGATTTTCCATCATCATCTAAAGTGGGATATACTTACTCCTGGTAAACATACATAGCTATGGAAAATCACCATTTTTAATGGGTAAATCCACTATAAATGGCCATTTTCAATAGCTGTTTTGACATAACCAGAGGGTTTATGAAACAACAGGAGTATAACCATGAAATTAATAGAGCGTATGGGTTATAAACCCATCAATAACCATTTGGTAGTCAAACATAGCAATGGAAACCACCCTATTGTAAAACCATAAGATAAAACATATAGGATTACAGCCTCCACAGCATATAGAATATATATATATATATGAAACGTTATTCCATTGGGAACACATTTATTGTAATTTTTTCTTAAAAAACACACATATTTAAAATTTATAGTGTATAAAACCTCCATGGCTAGTTCGGGGATTTCCCAGCCATCGCCACATAATAATATACTGAATATGGGTTTCTCGGTTAGATTTATGGGGCGATTTACTGAATCTATGGCCTTCACAGAACATGATGGGCCATAAAGTATGGGATGGATTGGGTTCCAAATTTTTGGGCAACCTCCTTTGCTGAAATTCAGAGCACTGCCTAAAAAAACCAACACTATTTCTCAATTGCGAACGAAGTGTTCTGTGTGACACTACAGCGACCCTGCCGGCCAAGCCCGATGATGGTTAGTAGGGGATGTTTACCCCAGGTGAATGTCTCAGGTGTGCGACGGATGTGACCATTTTCCATCATAATATCAGCTTTCTTTCGTGAACAGAGTCGTCAATAGTCGTCAACTATGGCATCCGGGTATGAGGTGTTGGATCTTGGTGTCACCGTGTCACCATATGATTTCTTGTTTTTCGGGGATCAAACGTATTCCCCCAACGTTTGGGATGATAGCACCAAGCAGCATGCCAAGTCTTCCATTGAAAAATGATCCCCGTTTTCGTGCAGAAAATCAATGCTTCTTGCTTAAATCTCATTCATTTCGCATGTTTTGCTTGTTAAATTCCACTGGAATCACCATTTCATAAATCACCATTTTTAGTGTCATTCAATCCCACTAAATCCCATGAAATCACCATTCAATCCCATTGAATCCAGTTAAATCACCATTAAATCCCATTGAATCCAGTTAAATCACCATGAAATCCACCTTGACTTTTTCCAACCCCAACTGGACGCTCTCGCCACGTCTTAGCCCTCAAGAAGTTCGGTGAGTCGGCCAAGCCAGGCGTGACCGGGGTCTCCCGGACGGTGATTTCAATGGGATTTCACCAGCAAAGATGGAGAAGTACTGGGTTTTTGAGCAACAAAAATGGTGGTTGAATGGCATTAAGCAAGAAAAAGTGTCATTAAATATGATTTCACCAGCACAAAATTGAGTCAAACATTGGGATATTTCATGGGAGTACAGAGGGGAAACATGAAATGCATTGCAAGGTGCCCCAGTTTGTCAGTTAAGTTGACTTATAGCACATATCATTGTGCCATTTATGGTAGATATATCGAACGAGCTCATGATATTTCTTTGACATAAACAACAAAAATTGGGTACGAAATTTTCGGATTTACAACAGATGGAGGATTTAGCGTAATATACATGACCTGATTTCCATGGATTTCATAGAGGATTTACCTCAGTGGAGGATGACCATCAGATCCCAAGGATGGCCGAGAAATCGGCGATGGTCGTGCGAGAAATCTGTCCGGAGGTGACTCCAAAATGGTTGAAAAAATTGGAAGAATGACAAACTGATAGGGATCAGATTGATTTTCCAGACAGGACTAAAATTCCCAAGTGAAAATGATAGGGATATATAGGGATTACAGGGATAAACACAAAGGTTGCAGCTGAAATGGATGGCCGACAAGCGCCGACAACGGCGCGACTTCTGCCATCTGCACAATCGTGAGAGGAGAATCAATGAATGTTGAGTATTAAGCAACCACTGAAAGTACAGGATGGTGCCCCCCCAGTGATGTTTGTTGGTTTATAAACCCCATTACCCTCTGGTAATGACTAACATAACTATGGAAAGATCCACCATGCTATTAATGGGAAAATCCACTATTTCGATTGGGTCATTTTCAATAGCAAACTGTTGACATCACCAGAGGGTAACTGATGAGGCTACCCAGAAAGTCTCATGGTTTGCCAGTAGAATGGCCACATCACGAAATATCGGATCGTGTTTTTTTTTCACCATGGTTGGACAAAGAAATTCATTGATGATGGGTGAAGCACCCACAATCTCCATTTCTTTGATGGCAAGAATCCCTTTTTGGTTGGTTATTTGATATGCAGTATGGTTATGAGTAACAAGGCCAATACATTGAATCATCCCTTGATTTTTTTTTGGTTCCACATTTGATATGCTTTCTATGGGCCAATGAGTAACAAGGCCAATACATTGTCCCCGGTCACAATGATACCAACCCCAGGGTTCCTGAATATGATGAAACTATCCAATGATCACATCAGAATAATAATAATATATATATAATATACATATCTTCTGGTTACAGCGATATAAAATGTTGATTCTATTATCCCTATTATCCACAGCATGAAACATCTTGCCCCACGAAGATTCCACAGGAGTGGATTGGTCTCTGTCGCATCAAGGACACTCAAGTGGCAGCACCGACTTGTTTGGACCGATTTTTTGAAGTTAAAAAAAAAGTGGTTTGCCCTACCAAAATGGAACAGTTGAGTATATAGTAAAACCTACAATTCACAGTTTACCCTGAGAGTGGTCCCAAGTGTCCCAAGTTAAAACATGTTAAAACCAATCTTCCGCCCAACTCATGGCATGGTTTATGCTGTGCAAATGCTAATTTGAGGGATTTTTTACATGGTATAAACCAAACTTAATTGGGGGAAATCTATAGTATAACCTTCCACCACGACTAATTGGTTTAGATCGTATCTGCGGACACAACTGGCCATATTTCATGGCTACCAACTTACAGATTCTGCCATCCACACGTACCTTAGCTTCCGTGCAATGGAATAGTCACCATGTATTGAAGATCGACGTGTTTGTTTCCCTTTGTTCCTTGTACTTCTGGAATCCAACAGGCTTTACCACACCAGCCACGATCCCAGTTATGGCTAGGTGACTTTGCCTGATTCAACTGCTAGATCACCGAACAATCATTGGGGTAGGTCATAGGCCCGGTACCCATCTTGCTCGTTTTAACTCCCAGCTTTTGCTGCTCAAAACATGGGTTTTGCTTCATAATAATCTGGGACCCTACGTGAGATGCTGACATAATTTATCATCATTTTTGGTTTTGACATCCCAGTTTGCAATAACCATTCCCCTTAGGGAACAATAATAAACACCCCCAGGTTTACATTATATAGGTTTATTTTGATCCGGCAAAGGGTGGGACAATACACATCACCAATCATTCAGAGTTTAACAATCTTATCACAATCAAAGTAATCCCTTGATGAGACTACCTATGGTATACCAATGGTATCATCCACAGATATTTTGATGGAGGAATAATAAATACATAAATACACACATATGATGATGATGATGATGATGACGACGACGACGACGACGACGATGGTGATGATGAAGATGAAGATGAAGATGAAGATGATGATGATGATGATGATGATGATGATGATGATGATGATGATGATGTCGACGGTGATGATTACAATTACGATCATGATGGTGATGATGATTATTACTGCAGTATCTATATATATAGTATCCTTATCATGTGCTATTGCCGCTGTCATACTCGCAAGATGGGACATAATACTATGAGATCATGAGATTCATGAGATGCGAAGAGTACATACATAGTGCATACATAGTTCATACTATTACATAGATCAATCATGATTCCCTTTCAGGCTATATACAATTGCTATCAAGTACTATGGCTAATCATTATCATCAAAACATATATTGTTGTTGCTATTATTTTTATATTCTCTTTCTTTGTTTTTTTCCCTATTATCATTGTATGTCTTTGTTAGTATCAATTTTATTGTCAATACTCTCATTATTAGGTTGTTACTACTGCCATTACTACTATTAAGTTTATTATTGTCATGATGCGTTTTAGAGTTATGGTCATAGGATAATATCAAGTTACTATTACTATTCCTATATTGTTATTATCACTATTTCTAATTGAAATGACATTATTACTATTATAATGCTATTATTACCAATGAATCACTTTGATTACTATCATTATCATCACTATTCTTGTTACCCAAGTCTGGTAATTTATCATTTACTATCATGATCATTAAGAACACTATTACAAAAAAAGATAGTTACATTAACATTAACAACCATTATCATTAAGAACGCCATTATCATTTATTAATATTTATTGCTACAGTAATGATGAAAGATACTATAATTGTTACTATAATGATAGATACTAGACATTTATCATTTACTGTAATTATCATTCATAACACAAGTACTTAGAAATGATAGTTACATTAAGATTACTGTAAGAACCATTATCATTAAGCACACCATTTACCTATTAATAACACATGTGGTAAACTCAATAATAAGCAATTCTTATACTTTACTATGATCTACTATCATTATCATTAACAACACTATTATTATTTATCATTTACTATTATGATAGATGCTATCATATCCCAGATATTTATCATTTACTATCATTATCACTAATAACATTCATATTTATCATTTACTATCATTCCCTAAAATTTCTGGTTGCTCTTCCCTATTTCTTCGCTCCTTTTTCGATGGCCGCCAGGTGATCCGCGTGGCCGCCACCAGTACCTCCACGGTGATCTGCACCCTGGCGCACGGCAAGCGCATCATGGTGGAACAGGTGGGGTAGGGCTGGGAATGGACCAAAAAATGCTTGGGAAATGAGGTAGTTAATAAATATATCAATGGATAGTTCATATGGTACCAGAATTTTTCATATGGCTTAGATATGCTTAAATCATATCTAATGCACCAGAAAACTGGGATTTTTTCGGTTGTTAATAGCTGGGAATCAACGGATTTTCACAGCGATATACGAATGGGATGGGTGACCCGCAAGAAATGGGACGTGAAATGCACTGACAGAACGGACGGTTTTTGAAGCTGCAAACCGTTGGGAGAACAGCAGGAAAAAAACATAAAACACATGGGGGAAGATGAACGGGTAGACATGGCCACCCTAAATAGGATGTTTTCTTTTAGAATGATTGGTTATGACTGGCAGATATAGATGAGGTACAAAAATGAACCATTTTTCACTGGGAAGTGGGGCGAAAAAGAGAAAAGTAGAGCTGACGAACAGCAACGGGCATGAAATTGTTATAATTCGGGAAATGTCATCTGGTTTCGCATACTTAAATGGAGATTCAAGCACACATGGGGTACAAGCACCATAGGAATGATTACGTACTCTCTTGACATGATTTGGGGACATACTCGGCGCCTTGATGATTTCGGATTGCCAGGGGGTGATCACCAGACATTGCAAGCAAACCACAAAAGTTGTACTATTGATCCTGGTGCATTGGAACCACTGTTCCAACACTGAATTTTCTCATTGTCATGATGCATCGCATCGTTTAATCAATGGGAATGACTCAGGATCCAACAGATGGAGGTACGTTAGTATCATTTTTCAGGCCATATGAATTGCTGGGGATATTCCCGGAAATTTAGGCCTAACAAATAGGCCAAAAATATATGGTAGGTACCTCCAATCAATCGGTTCCTGAATCTTGGTTGCCAATGTCTTGCTGAACATCCAGCAATCGTTGGTGATCGCCCAAGGCTTGCGGCCAAGAAGCTTCCCGAAACTTCGTTGATTTTTGGAAGAGATAAATAAATAAATAAACATAAATAAGTAAATAAATAAAACAATAATATATATATATAGATAGTATAAGTATCTATGTGTACATATTGCATATATACATCGCCCAAAACAGACCCCCCAAAATTGGTGATAATTTATCTGACCCATTTCCAGTAAAGCTGGCGGTGTCTTTTATGAATTCGCTACAAAACCTACCCTCTGGTAAACTAACATAGCTATTGAACATGCCTATTTATAGTGAGTTTTCCCATTAAACATGGTGATTTTCCATAGTTTTTTGTATGTTTACCAGAGGGTATAAGGTCTCCATGCTGAAACCGCTTGACCCTCGGTGTGCAAATCGATGGGACAGGCCATTCGTGGCGGCAAAGGAAAGATCTGGGGTCGCATCTCCAACCCAGTGGCAGGCAGGGGACCTCTGTTCAGGCTGGGGGATGCTTAGTAACAGGCTTGTGACCTAATGAATTCATATCCAACAATGGAACATCTTACTTCAGACGTGTTTGTATTAAAATTTAAGTACCATCTGGTTATGACTAACAGTTTGCCATGGAAAGATCCACCCATTTTTAAGTTCGGTAAACTATCTATTTCTATGGGCCATGGCTTAACCATGGCTATGTTAGTCATAACCAGAGGGTAGGTATGTCACAGACAGGTCAAGTCACAACCAGTCGCCCGAGTCGAGCAGTCTCGCAGCAGTCGCAGCCCAGGTTGGGTCCTCTTGGCTGATCAACAGAATGGCTACAAGGCGGTTTCCAAGGCTGGCTCTGTTGATATGGCTTTCCTACTCAGATCTGATTGGGAAGAGTAGAGGTTGTATGTTCTCTGCCATCTCTGTTTATGGTCTGAAACATATTGTCACGTTACTTCGTATGTTTTCGGTGTTCAGGTTCCAAATTTGGTAATGCTTAAATTGGGTCGCCACTTTCGAAACTCATGTCAAACACATTCAGACATGTTGGAAACAGACGCCAAATACATTCAGACATGTCCTCAATTTAGTCGAGACGAGACAGTATGTGAATCGTTGCTGCTTAAAGACTTGCTCAAGGCAAAGCCAAACAGGGAGCTCAGCGATTGCGAAGGATTAATTTTTGGCAGTTAGTTTTCAGAGGCTCTCAAAAAAAGAGTTCTGGGCAATCAATTGACGATTTGGAAAAGGGCAGCAGCACCCACGAAGACAAAAATGAAGGTGAGGAAACGCGCGAAAGAGGTCTTCGGAGGTCTCACACTTACAGACTGTCCGCGAGCAAGCCTCGTGGGAAAAAGACACGGCTGGGCGAAATTTTGCCAAACGTCAGGAAGAGTCAGGTAGAGGACATTCTGACAGGAGTTGCGGACGGACTTGAGGCAGGAAAACAGATACCAGCTCTGGCAAGGCTAGACACGTTGCTTGAGGAACTGCAAGAAGTGGAAAAAAACGTGAGGAGCTGAAGAAGGTTCCAGATATCGGAGTGGTACAAGCCAAGCAAAATGCAACATTCACGGGATGGTTTCAGCAAATCAAAGGGATGGTCAAAAATGTTACATCGCCAGAGACTAGTTTCAATTTAAGCATGGATGCTTGGGAATTCAGGCAACTCACGACCCGCATGGAGGAAATTGAAAAGGAATTAGCGGCCCTCACCAAGGAGATTTCCTCTACATATGAGAGCCCAGCAGAGATTTACATGCGGAATTTTCAGGCATTGGAGGGAGATGCCTATTTCACAACCATGGTTGCAATCGACCAATTGATCTTTTGGCTCAGCCAATGTAGTAGACTTGGCGGAACTGTTGCCTTAGCTTGGACCTGCGTGCTCCAGGTGCTGGTCTTTGTGCTATGTTTGGCTTTCCAAGGAATCATCATCATCTACCTCTCCATTGTGACTCTGGCAATGTACAATGACCCCTGCAATTTGTGGAGGTCACCCAGTTGTATGCAGCTCACGCGGGAGCACGGACAGACTTCGCAAAATGGGTGTCTCGTAGTTTCGTCATACGTCCCAAAGCTGCGATCGCATCTTGAACTGTCTTGCGATGAACTTTGTGGTCAAAATTGACGAGATTGTACAGGGTATCCTCACAAAGGGTCAGCATAATTTGTATTGGCCTGAACAGCTGTTCGTGGCCAGACTACGGGCTAAAGAACATGGGACCCGATCAGTCCGATCAGGAATTCAGAAATGTTGTGCAAGCAGTTGCTGCGTAGTGATGAAGGCAATGGCGTGGGCTATTGTTGTCACAGCATTCATTGTGATGCTTCCCCCAGTTTCAGGCGTATTTGCCATCCATTCAGGAGTATTCATGAAGCCCCTTTCTTGTGAACCTCGGAATGAAACATCAAGTGACATGTAGGTTCCCTCCTAGACGTATACTGGTTGCTCTTGGCGCAAAGAAAGTTTAGTTGGGACTTGCAAGACGCATGCGAATAATAGCAGCAGCACACTTGTAAAACAAGTTGATGCTAGTACTTGCAAGAGTTCATAATTCGGAGCAGCGAAGACCGCTGCATTTTGATTTGCACTCGAAGTAGATCTCAGTTCCGTTCACATTGCTGCGAACTGTGCAGAAGTGAGAGAAGTAAATAAGTAAAGTTGTTTGTGTGCAGCAGGGCGCAGCGGGGCTCTCGAATGTGATGGCATTTGGAACATAATCTGAACAAGCTTTCGGAGAACAGCTCACATATCGCCCTACTTTGCCGGGGAAAAGATATGACTTTTCTGGTCATTTACCTTGCCCAGCACGCCAAATAACTTCTGATTTTGTTGCCCATGCGCATTGAGCACATGCCTTCTGCATCCATGGTGAGCAATTCCAGTTCTCAGTGGTGATGTCGTGCCCATTTTTGATCGTAGGGATGGGTTGAAACATACTGTGGATGGTTGCGAAATCCTGCATCACCTTGGATGGTTGAAACCCAAACAAAATCATGGGATAAACCATCGTTTTCAACTGGTGCAGGATTTCGCAACCATCCACAGTATTACAGCACATGAACGGGAAGGTGAAGATTTGTTCCAACCTTGGAAGCAGCATCTGCGAGCCTTTCTGCGAATGTCCAGGCCAACGTCCCCAGCCCGGTGCAAGAGCACGCAGCTCATCGGACACTGCGCAGCTGGGCAGGGAACCATGTCAATGGGAAATCCAGGATCCTAAAATGGAGGCACTGTACTATCTAAGGGCATATGTTCTAGGGATATTCCCTGAAATTTCGGCCTAAAATATAGGCCAAAAATATATGGAATCGGTACTACTCCGTCCTAAATCGGATCCTGGACCATCTTTGGGTGCCCTTTTGCCATAGAAGTAATCCACTAAGTCTTGGAGGCCAAGCTCCCCATTCTTGCTGCTTTTTGACATCCACAGTGAAACATGTGGCCATGTGGCTCCTAAAGTTTGAAAACCTTGATCCTTGATCCTTTGAAAAAAACCCCAACTCCCAGTCGTTTCAAATCCAAATCCCAGTCGTTGCAGCACTATCTTCAGAAAGGGACAACTTGATGGGCAAAGTTTCAACAATGGGATAACATGGGATAACATGAACATCCATTGAACATCCTAACTTTGGATTTCGATTTTGAGATCAGATCCCTCAGATCCCAGTTTTTTTTTCCCATCGCACACCTTGCCGCAGGACGTCGCGCAGCGAGACCCCGAAGACCCTCAGCGGTGCCCTGCGCTCCATGGCCAGCGGCCAGTCCTACGGCAGCCGCGACAGCGCCGGCAGCGGCGCGTCGGCCTCAAAGGGCTCGGCCGTGCCCAGGGAGACATCAAAAGACTAGGGGATGATGGTGAAATGATGGTGAAATCTGGTGAAATTTGGATGAATGTGGGTGAATGGGGTGCATTTTCCGTGGGATTTTGGTTGAGTTGGTTTTGATGGAACAATTGGACTTGGCCATGCCACAGTATCCATGCCTCCTTGCGCCTGTCCCCGCGACATGACGTCGCCGGGTGTTCGTCATGACGTTCGTCATGGGAGGTTTGGCCTGCTTGGATGTTTGCGAGGGTGGGCTGAGTGATTTCCATTGCCTTTGAATCATGCAACATTGGTGTATTCTATAGTAACTATATCAGCTGCAGCTCAAACTCATCCGCCAAATTGGATCAAATTTGATGATGCTTCACAGTTCACAGGTGCTGGTTTTTCTCAGGTCGCCATACCCATAGAAACCCGAGAATCATGATCTCAACACCTCATATTATCATGACAAGTATGTATATATTTATATATATATAATATATAATACATTATAATACACAGTATATCATGACAAATATTGTGTTGTTTTTTGATGACTTTGCACCTGGCAAGACCTTTTTTTAACGTTTTTTTTTTTCAGCTGATGACTTGGGAGTTGAGAATTGCACCGAGACATCCAAGTGGAGCCATATGACTGAAGTGTCTGGGCTGACCGGCCCTTTGCCGTTGCCTATCCCCGAAACGAAAACCGACATGGAACCCCAGAACGCAGAGGGCCCACGGTACTTACTACTAGGCATTGAAAACTCATATAGTAATAATAAACATATATAATATGATTTATGACATATATGTATATATGTATATGTATATAAAATAACCAATATCTATATACATTTATTGCAGCATATGTGCAGTTCATTTATTATATATATACGACGTACTTATACTGCATAAATATTAAATGTATATAGTACCCAACATTTTTTCGATATTAGGCAACCATATCTCACGAGTTCAGATGATTTTACAGACTTTGAACATGGCCAAAAAAATTGGGTTCCAAGTTGGATTTCAGAGGTGGATACAACCACTATTCTGGTTCTTAGCTTTTCTGTCTGAAGATGACCTTGGGGAATCCACATTTTTAACACTTACTCGCTAGTCATCCTATCCCAAGAATTACACAGTTGTAAATCCTCGGACCAGAAGAAAACCAGAAAATTTCGGTTGATATATACTTTGGATGGTAATGTCCTGAACAAAATACCCATATTTTGTTGTTGAGGTTCAGCAGGATCATTCCTTGGGGATCCCAATGAGATCTGCAGTTGCAGCGAATCACCATGACGCGCGTCCTGACCGAACACCGGCAGAGCGAAAGCCAGTTCGCCGGCGGTCTGGTGAAAACACGTCACGCGTAGTACCCTCTGGTTATTTAACATAGCCATGGGAAATGGCCCATTTATAGAGGTTTACCTATTAAAAGTGGTGATTTTCCATGGCTATGTTAAATAAACAGATGGTACATCTTGTGCATAGATGTGTATCTGTGTAGATGTTTTTTTCTGCGTCAACATTTTTTTGCGTGTGACTGCGTACACGTGCATATGTTTTTGGTGTACTTTCAGGTACATATTCTGGTTGGTGGTTTGGAACATGAATGGATTATTTTTTAATAGGTAAACCATCTATAAATGGGCCATATATATATATACTGTAATAATATATATCTATATCTATATCTATATATAAATATATTTCACCATGGTACGTATTACAAAGTCTACCTCTGTGTTGTTTTAGATCTTGGCATGTCTCCAAGTGGTGGACCCTTTCTGCGGCCATTTCGGACAGCTGGGCTCCCGCTCGCCGCGGCGCTGCGGGGCGAGGTGGGGATCTACTGGAGGAATGCCCACGATTTTACTGGGATCCCATGGATTATCCATGACTGGTTGGTGGTCTGAAAACCATAGGAAAACCATAGGTTAATGATGGTTAGTAAAAGTTAATTATGGTTAGTAATGGCTGATTGGTGCTTTGGAACATGAATGGATTATGACTTTCCCATCATATTGGGAATGGAATGTCATCATCCCAACTGACGAACTCATATATTTTTCAGAGGGGTAGGCTTAACCACCAACCATATATATATATATAATCACCATTTTTCATAGGTAAACCATCTATAAATGGGCCACATATATATATATATATATTCACCATGGTACATATGGATTTTGTCATCTAATGGTGGGACACCGAAAAGGATGTTTCGCTGTGGGATCCTCTAGGTTTCGATCAGAGGAATCATTTCGATGCGTCGCCGCAAGACTTGTTGGACTGGATTGGTGTTGCCACTTGCCATTTTTTCCCCCTAAGCTCCATGTTCTCAGCAGCAGACCTGGAAGTTGGGATTTCACCAGAAATCTGGGCTTCTGGTGCCGGATTTGGAGACATCCGAGAGATGCCGTGGGTCCCACAGTGGCATGGATATCCCCCAAAAAATACCAAGTCTGGTTATTGCTTTCAGCGCCCTGGGATGATGACGACGTTGATGTTGATGTTGGAAAGATGATGTTGGAAAAATGACTTCGGAAAGATGATGTCGTTGATGATGTTGTTGTTGATCATCATGATGATGCTGATCTAAATGAACATATCAAGCTACCCAACAGCGAATCTGTTGGGTTTCAATCTCTGGGGCCGGGGGCAGGTGACAAGAAAATGCAAACAGTCCTGGAACCTTGCTGGAACATTTCGCTGTTGCGTTGCAAAGCTAGGCTACTATATATAAATATATATATATATATATCTATCTACACATGCATACATGCATGCATACATACGTACATGCATGCATACATGCATGCATACATACATACATACATGCATGCATGCATACATACATAATTACATGCATGCATGCATGCATGCATACATGCATACATGCATACATGCACGCATACATACATACATACATACATACATACATACATACATACATGCACGCATTCATACATGCATACATGCATACATCCATCCATCCATCCATCCATACATCCATCCATCCATCCATCCATCCATCCATACATACATACGTACATACATACATACATGGATACATACATGCATGCATACATACGTACATGCTTACATACCTACATGCATACATACATACATGCATGCATGCATGCATACATCCATCCATCCATACATACATACATGCATACATACATGGATACATACATGGATACATACATGCATGCATACATACGTACATGCTTACATACCTACATGCATACATACATACACATATGCATGCATGCATGCATGCATACATACGTACATGCTTACATACCTACATGCATACATACATACATGCATGCATGCATACATACATACGTACATGCTTACGTACCTACATGCATACATACATACATACATGCATGCATGCATGCATGCATACATACGTACATGCTTACATACCTACATGCATACATACATACATACATACATACATACATACATGCATGCATGCATGCATACATACGTACATGCTTACATACCTACATGCATACATACATACATACATACATACATACATACATGCTTACATACCTACATGCATACATACATACATACATGCATGCATGCATGCATACATACGTACATGCTTACATACCTACATGCATACATACATACATACATACATTCATACATACATACAGACATGGTTTGATAATCCGTGGGTTTTTTCCAATTTCGCTGGTCACAATCTCAGTCTCAGTCCGCCAGTTCGCCGTCCCGACGTGCTGCCGCCACCACAGGTCCCAGCAATCGCTCCGAGAAACGAAGTGTTCGGGGAACCCAGTTTTTTCAGGTCTGGGTGGTATGGGATTTTCATGTTCGCAGATCATAACATTCATGTTTTTCAGTGGTTACTTACACTATTCTGCAACATTTGCATTTCTGAAAGTTCTGAAAGTTACGAGTTATGACATTTTAACATGACAGAAATGCGCTCGCCAGTCTGATCATCTTCGAGACCCGTGATGACCCCAACGAACAACGGGCGGTTTTTTCAACCATTTTGGAAAGAAAAAACATCCAATTTTCATGGTGAAATATGGGACTTTGTTGGGTGATTTAACATGATTTAACCAACCTTATTTTGGGGACATCATATATGACATCATTTCTATTCAATGTCTCGTTCATCTACTGTACTTCAGCATGGCGGCCGCCCAGGAAATCCCTGAACTGGAGCGCTATCGTTCGCTGTGAACATAAGATGACATCTCCATAGAACGACTGGTGAAATCCCATTGAATCCCATCATTGATGAATGTCGATTAATATTGGATGCAAGAAGTCAATTGGTGGCTTTCGGGGCTCAAGCCTTCGTATGTCACCTCAGGCTGTCCTTGGTCTAGTTCTTGAGGGGATTAAGACTAATTGGTGGGGGCTGGCTTGCCCGCATCATTGCACCCAACCTTCGGTTGGACTCTTGGGGTTCTGTTTTCTCCTAGGGTGGATCTCTGGACTTGCCTCCACCCTCGCTTTGGTCTGGTGGCTGTCTGGGTTTTGGTGTGGTCCTGGCTCTGACATTGTGCGTGGCTCCTCGGTCCGTCTGGCCTCTCGTGCCCGTGTCCTTGCGTCCTACTTGCATGAGCCAACCCTCCTCCAACCACGACGTCGGGATTGAACTCCATATATCCCTACCTGAGGGTATCCAGGTCACTGTGCGGGCCCCTACCTCTTCTGCTGGTGTTGCTGCTGACCTGTTGGGCTACATCTCTCTCTTCCAGGCCTCTGCACCGTCGGTTCGGTCGGATCGCTCCTTCGAGGTTGTGTCTTCTGTGGCTGAGTCTGTGCGGAATTCCCCTCCTAGGGAGCGTCCTGTGGAATCAAGGGACTCTATCCTGCGATCCTTTGCTGGCTGCCCATCTCGCTTGTTTGTGCACAGCCCTCGTTTGTGTGGGTCAACACTGTCGGGTAAGGACCGGGTTGCTCGTGCTTGGCTGGCTGGTCAGTGGGCTGGTGCCGTCCGAAGTGGCCGCATCGGCAGTCCCAACAGGACACCTGCCATCGACCTTAGGTCGCGCTTCTACGCAGTTCTCAGGGCTCCTGGACTTGCAGGCCCAACCATCTTCAGGTCTTCAGCCTGCTACTGGCGCTGTGTTGGAAATTTGGAAGAGAGCTCAGCAATCTCCCAGTCTTTCCCTAGCGAGGTTGAGGCCCGGATCTACTTGGAGGCAGCAGGGGAGACCGACATCGAGGTCCTTCCTTAATCTTAGTCATGGAGTTTGTGGAATCCCTGACCTTGGACTCTTTGGTCACGCTCCAGTCGGATGTAGAACCCTATGTTTTGGATTGGCCCGCCGCAGAGCCTGGTTCTGTAGCCGAAGCCCTAGTGCTGGTGACCCATATAAGGCCAGGTGGATTTTTGGCCGCGGTCCCAGTTGGATTTATCCCAGAAGAAGTTCTCGCCGTTGGCAACTCTTCCCAGCCCCCCGGTCCTGTTGGTCCTTCGACCGTCATCGTTGTTCCTGGTTCCATGCTCGACAACGGTACCCTTGTTCCGGTCGGTTCCCCAGTGTCCGTGGTGGTTGTGGATTTTTCCCAAGATGTTCTTCCTCAGTTGCATCCTCTGCCAGTTGCTTCCGACCTTCACTTCACCTTCGACCCAGATCAGCCATATGCTGTGCCAACTCCGCTGGATTTGTTAAGTCGGATTCAGGAATGGTTGGAGGCGGGAGGAGACAGTGGACTGGGCTATGCAACAGCTGGAGGGGAGGACATAGATGGAGTACCCCTAGAGGAGGAGGATTTTGCAGACGCAACACCCGGATCCCCCCTTTCGGCAGTGCCAAAGCTTCCAACAAAAAGCCGCAAGGCAAAACCCACAGTGCCTGGGCCAGGGCGGCCTACCAGTGCAGAAAAACGCCCTACGGTGGCGAGCCTCGCATCATCTCTTCAGGAGCTGATCCAGGTAAACTCAGGCCTCACTCAGCAGATACAAAGCCTCTCCCTGCGGCAGCAGCAGCTCGAGAGACGAGCTACCCCGCCCCCTCAGACACTTGCCACTCCTCAAACTCTCTTGAGCCAGCCTTTGTCATCTGCCCTGGTCTCCCAATCCCATCAGCCCTCCGCAGTTGCGAAAGCCATCGGAACCCCCCCCAGGACTTCCGCTGGCCTGACTCCGGGTCTTTTGAGGTCTCCTTTGATCCAGCCCCCAGAGCTAACGGAGTTGGAGGAGGAAAAGCTGGAGCATCCCCCGTCTACCTCGCGAGATCCCCTGGCCCACGCAGTACTTGCCCAATCCAAGGCGCTCACAGCTCTTGTCAGTCAGATATCCAGTCAGAGCTCCGACCCTCTCTTGGACTTGGGGGAGGGAGTTTTGGGGCAAGCACCCGGGGGGCTCAGGGGAGGGCAAAGCTACAGGCGGAGCTTGCAGCCCAGAGAGGAAGCTTCTTCTCTTCGGTGCTCACTGCCATGGCCAGGCGCATGCAGCCAACCAGCTCAGCAGAAGGGACCCCGGAGGAGCTCATGGCCAAGGGGGTATCGGGCAGCAGGTACTTGGAGAGGTTCGGAGGCTTTGGCAAGCACAGGGAGCTAGGTTGCCTCCAACACCAGGTGATGACAATCATGGACTTTTTGCAGGTGGGAAACTTGCAAGCAGCAAGGGACCCCACGGCCTTGCTGGCGGTCACCATAGACCAGGCGGCATTAGACAACGGCAGATTCGACTTAGCCAATGTCTTATGTCTCCAAGAGGAGCCACCCAGCACGGTTTTCAGCCACAAGCCTGCAAACGTCCTCTCAAGGACTCGGGCCTTCACTCCATTGGCCAGTCAGCAATGGATTACGGTGGCTCTGGCATATATAAAAGAATTGGATGTCATCACGACCAAGAGGTTGGAGTTGTCTTCACAAACAAAGCAAAACACGTTCGCAGCCAGCTCAGCACCCCCCGACAATCCCCGGCCAAAGCCCAATCCAAAGAGAAAAGGGAAGGCGGGAGGAAAATGGGGCAGCAGTGCTCCGGCCCAACAACAGGAGCCAGAGGACTGAAGTGGCATATGAAGGTTCCCTATGAACCTGAAGGTGGGGGCGGGCCGGTGTCAAACCCCCTCACTTCTCAGGTCACGTTTCTCCAGTGGATGACCTGCCTTCCACGTTGGATTTTGCAGACCCGCACAAAGCTTGCGTCTTGTCTTGCTCGTTCTTTTGCCATCCTGCGCCGATCTTCCGGGACGGCTTCCGCACTCTTTCCCCTGCCCCTGCCATCTCTTGATTGCTTCCGTGGTAGTGGCCCTGGTTTGTCTTGTCGCCGCCTCAAGTCCGTGTGCCGTGATCGTCTGCTTAACATTTGGACTTTGGTACTGGACTTTTTGTTCCTTGGTAGGTGGCCCAGCAATGATGAGCTCAGGAGACGTCCTTCCAATGCCCAGGAAAAGGTTTTTCATCGCCTTAGGACGTTTTTGAGTGCGTGTGGTGACACCCAGGAAAGTTTTGACCTTTGCCCCGGTAGATCCAGCCCAGAATTAGGTAGTGCATTGTTTCACTTGGAGGCATTTTGCCAAACTTGCCAGGACCTTAGTTCCGGTTACATGGAGGCTGACACTTTGCCTTTCAAGCAACCAGGTCCACTTTTGTCGGTTGAGAAGCACCCTGAACTGCAGCCGTATAGGTCCCTTGATGCATCGAGGCTCAAAATTGTCGGAGAGGGAAATTGGAATATGGAAGCATACCTTGATGGACCGCTGTGGCTCCCATTTCAAGAGCCCTCTTTCCTTTTGCATGGCCTCCCTGTCTCTAGATGTTCCCAATTTTGAAGTTGAATCTTCCGATGAGTGTATGAAGCTTGCGACGCTGTGGGATGTGAGGGGGCTGCTGTGTCTCATGCCTGATCCCATTGCCCCTGGCCTTTTCAGTAGGGTTTTCAATGCCTTCAAGGATCGTGATCGAGACAGACAAATAGGTGATAGACGTTTGCCTAACCTGTCAGAACACCATGTCGATGGGCCTTCGAAGCAACTGCCTCAAGGACCACAGCTGACCTCAGTAAGAGTCCCACGATTCACTCATTTGCTGAGAGGTTCTGTAACTGATAGGAGGGATTTTTATCATCAAGCCGCTGTCACGTTGGAAAGAGCCCAGAGCAACATGCTGCCTTTTGCTTACCCCACCGAAGCTTTTGTTGGCACTCAGGCCTATGCTGGCTTACTCGAGAGGTCAAACCTAAAGCCTCCCCGCGCTCGAGAGATTGCAGGAGACCAGCTTGATTGTCGCAGTGCACCCAAACAGCCAAAAAGGCATTCCTTGGTTCCAGAGAGAGTGCACCCATGCTTTTCCTCGTTGTTTCAGGGGGACCATCTAGGAGTTGAGTTTGCACTTCGAAGTCACAGCCTGTTGCTGGAAAATCATGGACTCCTGCGCTCAGAGCATCGAATCCTTGGGGGCTGCCCGGTCCCTATTGGTAGGTGTTGGGATGCATTGGTGATTGATGACTATTTTGCATTTGGGATTGAGCCCGTGAGTTCGCCTCCAGAGAAGTCCTTTGCCATGCATTCCTTAGCTGTTGCCAGAGGGGTCTACCAGAAAGAAGGCCTGATGGGATCTGATGAAAAGGACGTAGTTGCTCAACCAGTCTTTAAAGCAGCCGGAGCTGAAGTTAGGTCTTCCGAGAAAAATGCTCGCTCCGGGGTGATCCCTGTCGGTGCACCTTTCTCCAAGAGAATTGCCTTGTCGGTCTTGTCCCTCAGGTCTGCGGTCTTGCCAGGTACCTCAGCCCGTCTGGTGTCCCGTCTGGCTGGAAATTGGGTGTCCGTTTTGCAGTATCGGAAGTGTTTTTCTAGCCTCATCGATGGACTTTTTAAAGCTGTCGAGCAAAAGCCTTGAAGAACCTATGCGGTGCGTCCACAAGCTGCCTAGGAGCATAGCCCAAGAAATCACCATGCTAGCAGCGATGGCCCCTTTGATTTTCAGCAATGTGTCGGTCGATTTCCTTGACCATGCCTATGCCACAGATGCATCTGTCCAGAAAGGTGCAATCGTTTCCACTTCAATGCCCGAGGAGGTTCATGAGGTACTCTGGCAATCAGCTGACAAGCGGGGGGCCTACACTCACCTTGACAATGGCTTCCGAGGCCTCTTGAGACAGATTGGTGATGTTGACGATGACCAGGACTTTCCTGGACCATTGCCACTGGTTGAGCCTTTGTCGAAACAGCCACTGCTTTATTTTGACTTTGTTGAGATTTGTGGTGGTGCGGGAAAGGTTTCGAAAGCTGTCAGTAGTTTTGGTAGGTCAGTTGCCCCGGTTTTGGACTTATCAAACAGCCGGCATTACAATCTGTCCTGCCTGCGCCTGACCGAGTAGATCATTTACATGATAGAGGAAAATCGTTTCAGGTCCTTTTTGATAGCACCACCATGTACAAGTTTTTCACCTGCAGCACACCCCGCAGTGAGAAGTTACCGACAGCCTCTTGGCTTTGACCGTCAAAACCCAAAGACTTGGCTAGGGAATCAGCTTGCATTCCGAACCCTGCTCCTTTTGCGTGTTGGCAGGCGATGCTTCAGACCTTGTGCAGCTGAGCAGAGCCGACTTAGCAAGATGTGCTGGTTAGATCTTTGGAAGGCCTTGTTGTCGCTTGGTTTTGACGAAGCGGTGATAGCTTCATGTGTTTTTGGCTCCATCCACAGAAAGGAATTCAGATTTTTGGTTTTCTTACTGGATGCAGTTTTCCTGACTCGGCGCTGCCCGGGTGGACATGCACATGTGAAGGTTGAAGGGTCCTACACAAAAGCCTCTGCCATTTACGTCGATGGACTTGCATGGCACGTTGGGGAAGCCTTTCACAGAGCCCTTAAAGCCATTGAAGCAAAGGAGTTGTTAGTACCTGACGTTCAGGGACAGGAAACGGTTTTGGCCAACAACGTCATGGCTTCAAGTCGATGGCACACTGTCAGAGCGTGGTTTTGGAAGCGTTGCTCACATATCAATGTTCTTGAACTTGCCGCTGCCGTCTCTGTCCTAGGGTCTGTTGCTCAGTCCAGATCGTCCGTCAGGTTTGCCAGCTTCTTGGACTCGTCTGTCTGCCGAGGTGCCTTGGCCAAAGGAAGATCCGCTTCCTATGCTCTGCAGCCCGGTCTCAAACGAGCTTGTGCCTGGTGTGTGGCTTTTGACTTATACCCTGCCTGGCCGTTCTCTCCCACCAGACTGAACGTCGCAGACGATCCTTCCAGAGGTACGGAACCCAGACAGCCTGTTGCATTGTCACTTGTCAGACAGGATGGACTTATGCTCAGTGCCTCTGTTGCCTCTGGACTCCGCCGTTTTACTGCCAACTGGTGTCGACTGTGCCTTTTGGTCTTGCTTACTCAACCGGCCCCAGCTCTTGGCTCCTCTGTGTATCACTTTGGATTTCAGTCAGAATGGCCTGCCAAGCTCCTCTCGGTTTGTGCGTGGGTGGTGGTGACTGTCTTCTGCTCCTTGCTGTTGAGCTGTGGACTCTCTTTTGTCGTCCCCTAAGGGTTGGGTGTAAATTTAATAGGCCTTATGGACTTTTAAAGACTCATCCCCTCAGGAAACCGGTTCGGGTAGCCATGGTCGTCGCGCTGCTGCTTAGTTCTGCCTCAGCAATGCCGCTTATGCCAGGAACTGAAACAGAAAGACAGCGAGTCATCCGACGCGATGGTGCTTCGCTTGTGGCGACCAGGGCTATCAAACAACAGACGCGCGACAGGAGAAAGGTCTATTTAGACTGGTTTCGACAGTGGCTGTGGAGCGAGAAAAAGGTATCTTTCCGGTACCTTATTGATCAGAAGCCGCCAGACCCTGAAAAGCTATCGGAGCTGCTTGTCGAATACGGGAAAGCTCTTTTCCATGCTGGCAAAGCGTATGGTGTCTACGCTGAGACGATCAATTCTGTCGCGGTTGAAAGGCCATTGGTCCGCAGACAACTTACGTCTGCCTGGGACCTGGCTTTCGCTTGGTTGGCAGACGAACCTCATGCTCACCATCCAGCTATGCCTCTGTCTTTGATGGCAGCAATGGTGGTGGTAGCTCTTTACTGGGGATGGCCTTTTGAAGCTTCAGTAATTTTGATGAGCTGGACAGGCGTGATGAGGATTGGAGAAGTCTTGTCGGCGTGCCGAAAAGACGTGGTATTCCCTAGTGACGCTGCTCCTGGCACCTCCTTCATGCTCATTATCATCAGAACACCGAAGACTCGGGGCAGATCAGCCCATCACCAGGCAGCCAGGATCGATCAGGTCGATGTGATCAGGTTTCTGGAATCCATGTACAAGGATGCACCGGAGAATTCAGCCATATGGCCCTATTCAGCGGCAACTCTGCGGAAACGTTTTCGACACCTCTTGGAAGCACTGGAACTGCCAAGTACAAAGGGGTTTTCTGGACGCCCCTTTGGCCTGGGATCAATGCGGCCTGGTGGAGCTACGTGGATGCTACATCAGACAGAGAGCCCAGAATACGTCAGACGCAGAGGCAGATGGCTGAGTTCAAGGGTCATGGAAATCTACCTCCAGGAAGTCTTGGTGACCACCTTCCTGGAGAAACTTCGACCAAGGACAAGATTTTTGATAGAACTTTGTGCAGGGGAGTTTGCCATTGTCATTGACCGCGTGATCACATTCCTTGACACTGGCATCCCCCCCAAAGCTTGGTTTTCCCTTCTCAAAAGCTCTGGAGATATTCCTACGGAGAACGTCAGAAAAGCTGGGATCAATGGCAGCAATTTTAGCCATCCAGGTGACCAACACATGGACTGGCATGATGAAACTCCCGTGCAGGACAGCGAAAAAGGCAGCTGCGACATTCTTGGATGCAAGAAGTCAATTGGTGGCTTTCGGGGCTCAAGCCTCCCTCCACCCCCGGCCCAGTCAGAACTTTTGAGAAGGCAGCAGTTTTAGCCATCCAGGTGACCAACACATGGACTGGCATGATGAAACTCCCGTGCAGGACAGCGAAAAAGGCAGCTGCGACATTCTTGATTAATATATATTACATCCCATTAAATCCATACAACATATGTTTCTAGGTTAAATCCCATGATATCCATCAGTAAATTGTGGATTTTCCAACGTGGATCAGTGTTTGATCACGTCGGGTCTCAATTTTTTGGAGAGAGATGGCCGAAGACAAGGTATGAACTTTTAAAGCCCGAGAGTGTTTGGAGAACAGTTTTGTTTCAGTATCTCTACGTATATATATATATATATATGTATATAAATATTATATATATATATAGATATGTATACAAATGG